CAGTTATTGACTCAACTTTATTTTAAAAATGTTTTTTTAACTCTTAAACATAAAATTTCAGTGCATATTGCTGCATTTCATTTTCATTTAGCACTATCTTATTTTTCTTTTTTCTAAAAGAGCTTTATGCTACTATTATAAAGAAAAGATACACAGTTTTTGGTATTTAAAGTTGTTTTTCTAGAGATGGCCCTTTTCTATATAGATTTTTTGTCTTTTCTGGTTGATGTAGTTATCTTTTCCAAGAGATGCTTTGAAAATGACTGTTTTCTTTTTATTCAAATTGTTCTCTCTCCGTGTGTATATATATTGATTGATAGTAATAAAATACAGCATATGTATTCTCAAGTAATTTTTCTCATTTGCAAAATAATCAGTTTTCATCTTGGTAAATATTTAGATGTGTAATGAAAAAGCTGTTTTCTTATTGGGTAGGTTCTACCAAAATGCACATTCCCTTCTGCAACTCTTGAGGTTTTTCCTTTTTCTCAGTCCCTCAGGCCCACACCTTATTCCCCCTACACTTCTTTTCCTTACTTAGTCACCACACACATGCTCCTCCTTCTTAGACTCCTCGCCTAGGTAATTTCTAAGACCTCTTCTTTTAGATGTAACTTTTTGAATCTCACTATCTGGATTGAGGCTGAGTGTGATTTCCACCCCCTCCCACTCTCTCTAGATGTTGTGGATAATGGCACTGGGTTTATTAGGCCCTTTAATGACTGGGGCAACAGAACCTCTGTGGGGTCCTTTGCAGCAAGGTGGATTTTTTTTCTCTCCTAGTGAGGGGTTTGGGGAGATTGGCTGTAGTAAAGAGGAGAGAAGGGATTTATTCTGGGTTTTATTGTATATTACTATAGCCATTGAAGTGGGAATTGAATGAGCAAACACTGTATTTGTCCATTTGCCCCACCTTTTCTTGGGCCTAAGACTTAGCAATAGAGAGAGAAGGAGTGGTGTTTCCAGATGTCTCTGGGATACAAGAGGAATTCCTGTTTCCTAGATTTGATTAGATTTCATACTGGGAGACTGACAAAACTTGTGTTAGTGCAAGGGCTCTCTCTGTAGGCAAGAATGATGCCAAATATGAAATAATCCCAAATGACCTCTATTTGGCATTGTTGAAACACTTTCATATGAATACATCCAAGCTGGCATTTCACTTCAAACAAAAATAAAAATACGAAAGCCACATGTGTGATGACCTCATTAATCCCAGCAAAGCATTTACTTAACAAGTGGGTTAATCTATGACCAATAGAAGGCACCAGCCCAGTCAGTGATGATTTCTCAAAGCTTCTTGCTTGCAGGCTGTGTACAGCAGAGTTTACATACAAAGATAAGCAAGCAAATAATGAAGTAGGGTAGGTGCTAATTATAATGGAAAGGTGGGGCATTGGACCAGTGTTTGAACTATTGTGTTCTGTGTTATGTCTTTAACCTTAACCATAACCCTGTGAACAAACAGTCATACAGTTAAGAAGTAGGCAGGACTTTAACCTACGTATTTGCTGCCAAAAATCTGTGTACTTCCTATGCTGCTCCCAGTCTCATTCTGTATATTTCCCATTCCCTCATCACTGATAACAACTGTAAACTATTCTGGTTTCACCTACCGAGGACTCAAATTTCTCATCTGTAAAATGAGCCTGGTAAATTATGTATTCTGTAGTTCTAAAATTCTGTGCTTTTTGTTGTTAACTTTGAAGAGGGATTTGTCAGAGATAAACGTAGTAGAGGATGTTAGGCTTTGTTTTGCTTTGGTTTTTTGTTTCTGTGATTCAAATTTTTTCCATGAGATTTAGAAGAGAACATATTTGAATAAAAGGAAACTAATTCATAAAATTAAACATTTGTCGATAATAATACAGAAGGTTTAAAGTCACACAGGGGTAAACTTCACTGTATCAGGAATGTGTGATGAACAGATACATCTGTATTTTGGTATTTGAAAAGTTAGAACCTGTTTATAGACTAGGAAGTCAGAGAGAGGACACAAACCTATCTAGCATAATATAGACAAGTTGATGTTCTGAAATAAAACAGTCGGTGGATTGCTTGACCTTTTATTTTTCTTCCCTTGTAATGAGCAGCAAAAATTTCAAGATATTTCAATCAGGAGAAGAAACAGCACTTGGATTAACTACAGACCAAGTAGTTATAAAATAATTGTGTTAAATTTACCTTTATAGAGATGCTCTTAATGACTATAGAAAAACTAGTTAAGTTCATCATTATAAATTGATGTTGTAAGATTGACAGATACCAAATGGGAGAATGTACGGTTTGGATAACCTTTTATGTTGTAAACATGGACTGCTTAGTGACTACATTTTAAATTGGAAATGTTTCCATGTGTAATTTTACTTGAAGTGACTATTTTGATGTTTTTGAAAGTCAAAATAATCTTAGTAGCGGTGCAGTTGTTTTAACAGTCAGCGAGAGGAAGGACAGTAGCTTCATGTTTATTCCATCCTGTAATGAATTGGTGGAGTCAAACTGGAAGTGTAGCTAGCTGCTTCTGTTATTAATATGCTGAGTTTTTCTAGCTCCTCCTCAGTGGTTTGATTTTATTTTTTCCTTCAAGAGGTACTTATTTTAAAAGGATCTTACCTGTCTCTTAATTCTGCTGTGTAGCAAGAATCGTGTTTTTAAAGAATATCACAGGTTGTCCCCATCAGTTAGCTAATATTCGCACTTAGTGGTTCAAAGTCCAAGCCCTGAGGCTAAGTGCTTTAAACATATCTTATTTAATTTTGGTTTGCTAATAAGTATAAGATGACTTTGGAACACAAGATCCTTAATTGTGGTTTCTTGTTGGAAGGCAGAGTTGGAAAGGCAACCTTTCCTTTACTTTATTAAAGTTCATATAGTACTGACTTGTCATTGTTTGAATATACTAGATATAAAAATTGACAGTGATAATTTATTTTAATTTTTAAGTATAATTAAAATGTGAAAATATTACTGTCTTTGTTTATGATGAATACTAAATTTAAGCTAAGCTATAAGGTGTGCTGTTTGGAAATATGGAAGATACAAGAATGAAGCCAGATAACAAGTTTATGCTTGTATATCCTACTGATGAAGACTTTCAGACAAGTTATTTCCATGGGTAGGTGATGTTACTCTGCATGTACATATACACTTATACTTTTTGCATGATTTCACATGTAGTAGGAGTGGTACAATTTTGACTTGACTGTTGACCTGTTGCCTCAATTTGGTTGTGGTGGGGGGAATGTGAGGGCAAGAGGCTGTGAATGGTATTTGTGATATAAATTTTAAAATAAATCACTATTTTTTTTTCAAACACAAAACACTTAATAAAGCCCTTTTAAAAATAGAACATTTGGTCAAATAGTCAATATTGTACTTGACCCTCATATTTTCTGCAACCAACTATTTGGACATCACACAGTATCTTGATTCCATAATAATCATTTTGAACTCTGACGAGAACTCCATAAATGTTACAGCTTTCTTTTCTTTTTTAGAAAAGAAAAACCTCAGACATGAACCAGTTTTTTGCTATTTGATCTAAAATCCATTACTAACTGATACTGAGGCCACACTCTTGAATTTTATGAACATGATTTACCCTTTTGGGAATTGGAAATTATTCTTAAGTAGTCAACTGAAAATTGTCATGATCGTCAGAATTTCATATTGTGACATGTCTGTTCCTTATACGGTGGCACTTAACAACTCATTTGCTTTTATGTTTGGTCATTTTTTATTTTAAAAATGTTGCTACATAAACCTATGGCTTGGGAACTTAGTCTTAAGGGATAAGTACCCCAAGTGTGTTCCATATTTTGTTTAGTGACAGTTTACACAATGGATGTTTGTATTAAAACAGTAATCCTTCATTGTATTCTATTTTAATGATTCGTTGGCATATGTATTCCTTCATAGTCAAGAGTTTCATAAAATAGGTCTGTTTAATGTTAATTTGTTGGATTATATTAAGAAATCTTTATGGAAATAAGTGATTTGCTTGCACTTCATAAATAGCTCTTGGGGGAGGAAAAGCATTTTATTTTAAAATGGCAGTAGTAGTAAGGGATGTGTTTCATAGTTGACTGAAAACTTTATTTTTGCTTTCTGCTTTTATATTAGAAAAGGGTAGCATTTTAAAGCATGTATCTATTCTACAAGCATGAATATTGAATTATTTTAGCATGAGTCACTGCAGTATAATTACTTCAGAGCTCAGCTGCCATTTTCAGCTAGTTAGGGTGATTTGGAGGTAGAAGGGATCTCTTTTTTCTAAGAATTTTAACATCTTCCTCTCAACCCATAAGGTTGTGTATCATTTCCTTGGAGTGTGAGCTGGTTGTTTTTCTCAGGGAAAATAAAATAGAAATATCCCTCATAAGACATCCAAAGCAAAATCCTGAAGATGGATTTCATGAGCATTGTCTTTTTGTAGAATATTGTAAGATGCATAACATCCCTAATATTATAAAAGAGCTTTACTGGAAATAGATGGCAGTCAAGTAGAGCTCTTAAAGTAGAAAAATATATATTTGATTTTCTTCTCTGAATCTATTAGGGACTTCTAGTATTAGCTACTAAGAGGAAGAAACTAGATTCATTCTCTTAAAACATAAATTGAGCTTAATAGTTTGCATCAGTGTTTTTCTTTAAAAAACCAGTTTCACTTTCACTGTAGAGTCTTACCCTTTTTCTTAATCTTTTGCTCTTTAGCAGAATGACAGGAATTCAGTGTAACTTTTGTTCAGTGTATTCTTGTCTTTGTTCTTCATAATAACACCCTTTTTCCTCCTTCCCAAATGTGTCCCTCATCTTTGTAAGCTCGGGTTATCTCTTTCACTTTCATATCATGTACAAAATATTAGATTGTATAAAGTGCAGCTTTTCTGACCATGTAGAATCATAAGATAAAGACAGCTGGCATTTAGGGGGCTCTTAGTTGCAGAAGTATTTTTCACCCCACAAGTTAGATACAAGTATACATTTTCTTTCCTCCCTAGATGGACCTCCAGTTGTAGCTCATTATGATATGTCTGACACCAGCTCTGAGCCAGAAGTGGTAAATGTGGACAATTTATTGGCGGCTGCAGTAGTTCAAGAGCACAGTAATTCTGTAGGAGGCCAGGACACAGGAGCTACCTGGAGGACCAGCGGGCTTCTAGAGGAGCTGAATGCAGAGGCAGGTTGGTTTCCCTCCCCCGCTCCCCCCTTTCTCTGATGGTATAGTATGCATGTGTCCTGGCAGCTATTTTCCTTGCTGAGGAGAGCAGGCCAACTAAGAGACATCTGGCATTAGATGATTGTGGCTTCCAGGGTGCCCTTTATAACAGAAAAGATTTGGGTAGCATGTCATTCGTCTTTCCTAATTACAAGAAAGCAAAAATGAGAATATCTAAGACAGTAATTGTAGGCATCGGTAGATTTCAGTATATGTACTTCTTGAGTTAAAAATGCCTAACATGTAAAAATTACCCAGATGACCTGATACTACTACCTCCCACCCCCACCCGCAATCCCATCCCCACTTCTTAGTGGTTTCACTCACTTATGGACCTTATAGTTTGGGGAGGGAGCTGTTACAATTTGTCCTGTGGGGCTGTTGCAGTGCAGTGCTGCACTGTTTCTTCTGCCTCTCAGTGTGCAGTGTCCCTGTTAATTCCTTTACAGTTGTTCTCATTTTGTCTTTTCCAACTCCTTTCCGTTGCTGTCTCTGTTATCTCAGGAAAATCTCTCTACCTGTCTTGCATTGTTTATCTCGGCTCTGTGATGATTCTTAAGAGTGATATTTTATTCTCTGAGAAACCTATTGCTGTTACCTTTGAAAACCTTGCACAGTGCCTCCAAGTTTCCTTCATTATGTTCCTCAAAACTCTTTCTTCCAACATTCTTTCTAATTTAAACCTTTTTCTAAAAGTACTAGTGCTTTTAGAAAAGTTTAAGAAAAGAGGTAGAGGGAATTGAGAGACACACTGCTTATGTAGTGTGTATTTTCTTTAGTGCCATAGAAGGATTATAGTTTTCTAGTTAAATTATAAATTGCGTTGGCTTAATAACTACCTAAAATATTATTTTTATGGGAAATGAGTTTTTATTACAAAAATAACAGTGGGTTATAATTTAGAATTTTTTATATTTAAATTGTTAGGAAGTAAAAGGGGAGACAGAACTCCACAGATCATTGTCATTAATTGTTCATTTCATAATCTTTGATTGAAACTGAATAAAAAATTTTCTCTTATTTGTTGAGCTTCTGATTAATTTATTGTGACTAATTTTGGAACAGGACCTGGATTTAGTTTTAACTGTGTTGTGACTGCTAACTGCCTATTTAACCTTGGACAAGGTGATTCTCCTCTGGACTTCAGTTTTTATATGTATAAATGCTTGATTTGCCCAACAAGGATCTTTTAAGTATTTATTAATGTGTATAAGTACTTTGAAAAGAATTAAGTAGTAATACTTTATATCAAAGGGGAGTAGTTTATCTTAATTTTCATCCATTGACAGTTAAGTGATCCTTTCTACTTCAATTTTACTACCCTGTTTCCTTAGTCTTGCCATGAAATGTAGACCACTTTATAGTAAATTCTTAGGAAAAATATGAACAATTACTTTTTGTTATTTTGCTTTTCATACAGAGAATTTTAATATTAGTTTGAACTATATAGATTTGTTAATATTTGACTTTCTCATCTACAACAAATTTAGCAGTTTAATATGAGTTAACCTACAAGTGCAAGGCTTGGGGTCTTACAGTATCATTAAAGTCACTAGCATTGGGTGGGTGGGGGGGGGGAGCATCACATTTTCAGGTTCAAGTAATTGTTAGCTTGATTATTTAAAAATACCACTAGCCTTTGGTGCTTAGCTCTAAGAAGTAAAACATGGCAAAAATATTTGAGGAGGGAAACAGCCCCTCTCTACTCCAAAGCTCCCCTGAATTTGGTATTTAATGTCTGGTATTCCTGTGTATTCCTCCATACTTCTGCTGCATTTGTTTTGTATCTGTAAACAAGCATGTTTTAATACTAATTAGTATTACATAGAAGGCAATCATTTGCAACTTGCTTTTTTAGTTCAACATGTTGTGAAGTTTGTTCTTGTTGATGTGTTGCTATAGTTCATTTACTTTTCACTGCTATTTAGTATTCCAGTGTATGACTATATCATAATAGACTTACCCATTGTCTTCTTGTACATTTAGGGTACTATTCCAAATGATGCTGCCATTGACATTTCCTGTACATGTCTCTTGGTACATGTGTAGAGAAAGCACATGTGTGTGCTTTCTCTATATATTACAAATCATGTGTAGATCTTTGTATATTGTAGGACATGGACATCACTGTTCAAGAGATCCCCATGATATTTTCTTATGAAGCCATTTATTGTCTCATTCAAAGTTTTGGGTTTTTTTTAATATCTAACATGCAGGTCTGTGAGTAATAAATAAAACTTAATAATACACTGTAGTCTTGATGTAATTATCATAGTGGGAACCCATCTTGTGAATTTGAATATACTTACCATATCATAACAAAATGTTCATAGGATTTATTCTCAATTGCCAGTTTATAGTTTTGATACTTGGGAGTATTAGTATCAATTAGATGGTCATTCTTGAGTTTGGAGTTTAAGATAAATGTTGTAATGGTTAATCTGAGTCTTCCTTCTCTCCCTCCCAATAAAATAAAAACCCAGTCACTGAACTAATTAATTAATAGCAGCAGTGGCTAACTGATAGCAGCATCTCAGACCAGGTCTGCAGTCCCACTCCATTTAGAATCACATAAGCAATCATTAGGGATAGAGTAGCTTATCTCTTTTTCTAAGCAATTAGATATTGTTCTTGTATGCAAAGTAGTTTTTACTGTTTAGTTTTAGTTTCAACCAAGGAAAAAGAGTTGAAATTAGGAAAGCCATTGGTCAAGAAAACTTTCTGACCCAGAAAACTTTCTGAACTTTCCATTTCAGCTCTTGCCATATGTTTACTCCTTCTTACTTGATGCTAGAAGTGGACAGTATAGTGGGTGGCAGCCTGCTGCCAGCAAACAGCCTGATTTTGAACCAGCAGAGCCAGTTGCATACTGTGTGACTTCAGGTAAATTATGTAAAGCCTCAGTTTCCCCTGTCTACAAAACTTGGATAAAACTAGTATCCACCCCAAGAGGTTATTATACTGTTATGTGGAATAACATATAATGTGATTCATATAGGATGAAGTACACAGCAGGGCCTCAGGAATGCTAACTGGCATTATGTTAATATATTTATGCTGAAGTAGACTAAGGAAGTGATTTATGGACCCAGTCAGTGGATTTCTAATTTATTCTCCTGCCCTGGAATGAGTTGCTCTTGCTGCAGTATTTCCTAAACTTTACCTGAGCATAGAAATTACCTGGAGTGCTTATAAATATTCAAACTCCTAGATTTCTCCCTGAAAATCTTGTAAATAGATCTGAAATGGTGTCTGGGAATCTGTTTTTAATAACTTTTGCATCGGACATGTTTAGGAAACTGTACCAGTATATCTGAAAATAGCTTGATTTTTGCTTATTGCTAATAACAGCTCACTGTAAACATAAATGTAGATGAGGCTAAAAGAAGCAGAAGTCTGAAGTACTCTTGGTGTGGAAGGCTTATAATTATTACACTAAATTTATTTATGTATTTATGCCCCCGGAAATTAAAAATTCTAAACAAATGATCTCATTTTTTCCATCAGCCTTCTTATTAAGAAGGTAGACTATGAGCATTTTCCCCATCCTTAAAATAGGTCTGGTAATCTTGATTTGTCCATAATACAAGCTTAGTTGTAGTGAAGAGAAAAAAATCTTGGGTTTCCTGTTCTTAGAGTAGGGCTTTTTATGATCAGACCAGAATGACCATGTTTCTATTGTTAGCACTATTATTTTTTAATATGTTTGTTTATTTACTTATGGCTGTGTTAGGTCTACGTTGCTGCGCGCAGGCTTTCCCTAGTTGCAGTGAGTGGGGGCTACTCTTCGTTGCTGTGCGTGGGCTTCTCATTGTGGTGGCTTCTCTTGCTGCGGAGCACGGGCTCTAGGTGCGCAGGTTTCAGTAGTTGTGGCATGGGGGCTCAGTAGTGGTGGCTTGGAGGCTCTAGAGCGCAGACTTCGTAGTTGTGGTGCACGGGCTTAGTTGCTCCGCGGCATGTGAGATCTTCCTGGATCAGGGCTCGAACCTGTGTCCCCTGCATTGGCAGGCAGATTCTTAACCACTGCGCCACCAGGGAAGCCCTCTATTGTTAGCACTTTAAAATCATTGTATCAAGTCTTGTGAAGGAGATCAAGTTTCCTCTTGTTCAGCTGGTACATGTGGACTGTAAGATTTTAGATTTCTGATCTCCTTTTCTCCCACTTTTTAAAGTTTTTAATATTTTTGTTGAAAAGATTTAACACACGGTAATAATTTGTTTGCTTTAAAGCTAAATGAGTAGTGATTTAAGATAGTAATCTTTTTTATACCTAGCATGCCACTGTCATCCAGTATGTAATAATTTTATATACTTCAAATAGTCTTAGGACTAGTTCTTAGTAGATAATGATTTAAAAAGAAAATGTTTGCCGTGATAATTTAATTACTACCTTTTCTACTTTCTGATTTATTTATGTGTTGAAAAGATCTGTAGTGGGAGGACAAAAATTTAGAATTTTCTTATAGAGTGAAAGCAGTTATCTTTCCAAAGAGCTACACAGGGAAAGACCTACACAGAGACAGCCAGCTGCCACAATAACTAAATATAAATCCTCTGCTTTATTTTCAGTTTAATATATGGTAATTGTGGTATTTACACTTTTTCTACAGAGCTTATTCTTGTTCTAGAATAGGAGTAGATTACTACCACTGACAGTATTTGAAGAACCTTATAACATCTTTGACTCACTTTTGTGTATGCTTTAGGCACTGCTTTGCTATTGGATTCCTTTGAGGTCAAGGGGGGCTGGTGCAGTGTGCGTATGGCCCAAAGGCCAGAAGAGTGTTGGGCTCTGCACTAGAGCTTCCAAAAGAATGTGTGACTTGCTGAAGAGGGTTACATTGAGAGAAAAGGACTAATTGTCCTGGCTCTGAAATAGAGGAGGGGATGCATTCCTGGCTGTTGGAGAATGCCATGGTGTCTCTTACAGAGCATGGGATCCCACAGATTTTGGTGTGGATCCCA